TTTGCTACTGATCTTTGACTTGAAACCAGGATCTGTTAGACAGTATTTGTCAGGGATTATTTGAATGGTTAGTTTGCAAACGCGATAAGCGAAGCACCACGAGAAAAATAAAAGGGCTAACTCACACATTAGAGTAGAAGAAATTTAAGTGTATAACTTATCGATATCACCGCAAAAAACGCAACGTAAACAGTCAAAGGCCATGAGATGGACGCATTACTCTCACGGAAGTGCAGTCTTGAGCGGTCTTGGATATACAGCCTCACAGTACTAATCGTCATATTACTAGGAATATCCGTCGGAATACCCACCCTTTTCTTCCACTGAAAGCCTCTTCATTCTTGGCCTGATATACTTGGATTAACCGAGTTCATATTATTTCTTCTAATGACTATTCATTTTACTTCCACATCGAGGTCTTATCGGAATGTAAACCGGGTTTACTCATTCTAGAAATCAATTCCATCAATTTTTTCCCGACGAGGGCTGGTAAACGCACGTATTTCTTCCTCCAATAAAGTTGCATTGGCAAACTTAATGAAAACATGGAATTGTTAACCATATTATCCCCCTTATTTTTACTTATGTCAACTTCTTCGATGTGCACATCATTGTCAAAAGCCTTTGGAATACAATATATCCAAGAGGATACTATTTTACCCGTCGTTAAAGACCTGTCTGCCAGACTCCTGAGTTATGCAACTTAACTGAATCTATTAAACGTTCAAAACTCTTCATAGATTGTTAATTAAGTTAAGACAGATAATACGGAACACAATTTTCCGCGAACATGTCGTTTCTACATCAGTTGGTTACCAGAAGAGGATCAAATCGGCCCCATAACTCTCGAGTTGTACTTTAGTATTTGTTTGGCTCTGAGTTATTATCTTTATGTGTGGGAAGTATAAACAACACAAGCATTTTGACCCAAACGTAATCTGGAAATAACAACCTTTAAATTTGCACCCATGCGTGTTCTTGCTTTCTACGGAGAATTTCGAGTTAAATATAGCTTCACTAGTCCATATTTCAGTGCCAACCCCTCCATGTAGGTCAACAAAATTTAAAAGTTACTTTAAGTCGGTGGATTTAGTCTGAAGACTAAAGTGTTAGTAAGAGTGTAACACAAAGTTGCATGTAGTATTGACCCAGATTAAACATACCTTCAAACGGGCAGTCAATATGGCATATGAAGGTCATACCGTTGAACCTCTGGGCTTATGCGAAATGCAGCGATATGGCCAAGAAGCCTTTTTGCGCCTTTTTATTAACCCAGTGAGCTATGGTCGATATAATCACACATTATCTATTTGTCTCTACTCTTCTTTGCATTGACCACCTTAACATTTATTTGAAGGTGCTATTTAATTAAGCATCAACATTTTGCCTTATCACTGGCTCAATCTATTTCGTGCAGTATAAATTTTTATGGAGGCTCGACTTCAGTTCCAAACCTACAAAATAATTACAATAAGTGACATTACTGAGAAAGACAAGGGGATCTTAAATGACAATTTCTGGCGTAGTTGCCCTCAGCAGCTAGTCATACCCAACCCCAAGTGTTGTGGCACCCGAAGCTCGAATTTGTGACATTTCAACCACAGTCTGACGCTCTAATCACTGAACCGCGATCTCCTCGTCTTTCCGGTTTAGATATGAAAATATTGATACACGTTGTTGAACCTTCACGGGTCGCTAACAGAACTCACTAGTCCCGCTGTTCCACGTGTATGTGAAGGCCTCATTCTGTGCCGATCCGCGTTAGTCAGTAAAGTACAGGATTTATATGGTACTTTATTCTCCATGTCAATGTAAAGGCTTGGAGATGACTGACCTAAAACAATTGTTTGCCAAATTCAGTGTTCAATCCCAACGTGCGAATTTTTGCAAAACTAAGACAGCCTCTTGTCGTTGCCAGTAATGCCGTTATGCCCATATCATGAGCCTCCTGTGCAGCCGCTGGCGGGGTTCTGTGCCCCAAGGCACAGAGGGAGGAGTGAGTTCTGTCACCTATCAGTGAGCGCCCATGTATCATTTTGTGTATTCCCTAATCAAAACCGGCAAGGCAAAGAGGCCGTGGCGCAGTGGTTAGGGCGTTAGGCTTCTAGCAAACAAAGCCACAAGTTCGAGCCTCAGGGGCCGCAACACCCCGGGTTAGGTATGACCAGCTGATGATGGCTAATAAGCCAGAACTGGCCATTTAAATTTCCTTTTTCCTTTTCGGTAATGCCTTCCTGTCTATAATATGCTAGCCGTTGAGCGGCTGCTGGCGGGACTCAAGAGCGAGCCCCGATGCACGACAGGATAATTAAGTCCTGTAACGGATCGGTGTACGCCCAACTACCATTACAATAACTTCGTTTTCTTGTAGCCTTTATTTCCACGCGCGT